TGTGTGTGGGCTCCTACTGAGAAATACTGGCTCAGCTGAAGAGCTCCTATGGGCCAAGTGTCCTGCTATAAGGTACCAGAAGAGCCCTGTGGCAACCTTTGGTTTCACAGCAGCATCCCTACAAGGTAGGTGATGGTATAATCACCTTCGCTGATAGAAATATGGAAATGGAGCCGTGGAGAAAGAAAGGGAAGGCCCTGGACCAAGGTCACCCAGGGGTCAGCAGGGTTCATTAGGGTGAGCAATCTCTCTCCTCCCCCTGTCCTAATCAGCTGTTCATTCACAGCTACTGCACTGCTAACTAACAGCCCTCTGCTTTTGTTTTTACTGAAAGGCCAACAAAACAGAGCTGGCTATTTGTGCTTGCTAATGATAATTCTCATTAGCTCAATTCTGTCAGCTGACTCCCGGGCAGCCCAGGGCCAACAGCAGCCTGCGTGTTCAATCAGGGCCTGGACCATTTTCTAATTAACAGCATCGTTTTGGGGCTTGTTTCCTCCAACTGCAATCTTGCTTGAGTTCAAGTCATCTTCAGCTGTTGTATTTACATGAGAAATGGATGATTTGTCATGTCTGTGTCTGTCAGTACGCTAGCCTTGCCCTCCCTGGGGGAGACCAAATGGAATGGCATGTGTTTCCCTGAGTTCCCAGGCTGCTGGCCGCAGGGGCTGACCAGCAAGTCCCAATGAGAGTCATGAGGCAAGCCCTGGGTGTGGACGGAAATGCTGGCCTTCACTGGGCTGGCCAGGGTGACCTCTTCCCAGCTTCTGAATTTCAAATTTTATTCTAACTCAGAGGCCTGATAGGGTGACCACCCATCCCAGTTTTCCCAGGACCAAGGGTTTTCCCAGGACATGAGACTTTCAATGCTAAACAGGGAGTTGGTCACTCTACACCAGGCACACCAGGACACAAAGGCAGTGTGGGAGCACTGAACATCTCCCGGGTGATCTACCTGCAATCTGGAATGGAGAATGACTGAGAGTTGGGGCCCCATCTTTCTCTGTCAGGCCTCAAGCTTACAATGCATCCCTTCACTACTCTGCACCTTATTTTGCTTTTAATCTCTATTGCTAATCCGATAGGATGAAGCATTATTTCCAATATGGGAAGGGATAAGTCGAGGTCTGCAGGCATGTTCTGAGATGAGGGTGGTACTAAGGAAAGAACGACCAGTGTGTAATCCCTTTGAGTGGAGGTGCAACATCCATAAAATGCTCCTGCCAATTCAAAAACATATTAAGCATTTATTATGTACTAGGCACCTAGGGAATGCAGGCATATGCCCTGTACACTCCCAGCCCTCACAGAGTTGACAATGTCCTGGGAGCAACTGATACAAATGAACCATATCTGCTATTAGGCTACCAAAGGGATCAATCACTAAGCTAGAAAAGATGTGTGGGAGCTAGGGAAGGGAGAATTAGGGTACTTCCACTAACTATGGGCCAGCTACTGTACATCATTTTATCTTCTTTAACAGCTAACATTTCTTAAGCACTTACCATGTGACTAACCCATTTAATTTTTACAACTCTATTATCATACCCATTTTATGAATGAGGAAAATGATGCTTTGGAAAGCCATGTATCTTGCTCAAGGTTGCAAGTTAGTAAATGAAGCATCCAGGGTTAGAACCTAGAGAGCATGATCCTCGCCTTATGCACTGTATGATAGTGAACCTCCTACCCTTGTGGGGTGCTGGATGGATTCTCCATGCAGCATGTGTGGTGGATGCCCAGTCAACATCAGATAAAAGCAGCCAGAGATGTACGGCTGTGCATGGTGGGAGCATGGCAGAGGGAAATATGAGGTGGGGTCTCCAAGTTCTACACTGTAGAATACCAAGGCATGACAGCAAGAATGTCCCATCAATAGTGTGAGAACTCTGGGAATGCCAATGTTCTAAGGGAATCTGGCTGTACAAATGCTGCCCTTCTGGCCCCAGCCACATTAGATTCTAAGGAATGTACAACTAGAATGAGAAGCCAAATGCCTGAATCCTTCGTCATCTTTCAGGGCCAGAGGTGGGTGACATTCATTATTTTATACTTTTCAGACTGCATTGTAAATTTCTCAAAAGCATATCTTTCTTATGCACACAGAATATCTGAGCAACTTGCTTTGCATATATAGGGTACTTAATATATGCAAATCAAATAAAAGTATTTGATGTGCCATGCCTGATTTTAATAGGTGCATTGCAACAGTATGAGAAGTTGGGTATTCTAGCACTGTCAATTATTGAAATGAAAACTCTCATTCATCAATAACAATCCACAAGCAATAAACAATCCACTCTTAGTGGACACTGGATGTACTAAGTATCCAGAGCCTGATAGATATTATACAATTATTATCCTCAGGAACATTCTCAATATGTATTTCTGTTATTTTATAGGATTTTTTTTGTGTGAAAGCAAATGCATAATTTTAGACAACCAAGCATTATGACAATGTATTAATATTTAAAAGCATTAAAATTAATTTCCCCATAATTATAATTAACAAAACACAAATGTAGAAAGGATAATGTTTCAAGAAAGTTTTAAAGAAATATAAGCTTGGGGAGGGGCAACGTATATCTTTCTTTCTTATTTACACTGTTAATAATTCCTGGTTATTCTAATCATAGTTTTTCTCCTAGGACCCTAAAGAGGCTCTTATTTAGAATATTGGCTTGTTCAGGGCCTTTCTGTGACTCTGAGACTTCAAGTCAGCTCCTGGCACTGCCAGGTGCTAGAATTGCCAGAGCCCTTGTTCAGTTATAGAAAATAACAAGGGTTTTTTAATGGCAAAGAAAGGCTTTCTCTGCTTGTTAACTTACACTCAGCTTTATTCTACAATGTTGTCTTTATGCTTCTGTGCATAAAGGAGAAAGTGACTTTCAGCTCTATCCATTTGATGTTTTTGCTCCTTTAGCTCAGTGAAGCCAACAGTACACACAGAGTCTCTTCTTTCTGGCCGGCTTCTGGGGAAGGTATTTTCCCTCCAGCTGAACATGCCCACCAAAGACAGTGAAACTAAAACCCTCAGAAGCAGAACAAAATCTAGGAGGTCTTAGTAGTTTCTCCCCTCCCTCTGTCATTTACACAGCTCCTGTCCACTCTTTCCTTTGTCCTTGACATTTTCTGAAATTAACTTTATCAACTGTTTCCAGTCTTTTAACTCCTTTGAGCTGTTTGCACAACCTTATCTTCTTTTAGTGGCTGTTTACCCACAACAGCCTTTATAAAGGACAAACTAACAATATTTAACCGTCAATGAGTTTTAGCCTTTTTCCATACTTGTTGTTCAACTGTGTTCATAGACAACTCAGTTCCTGCCCCTGACAGCTTTCTAGAAAGCTCTTGTGAAAGAAAATGAAGGAAATTCACTGTTCTTTAGCCAATGAGACATCTCAACTGTACCCAAAAGGTCTTGCTTTGTTCTAGAACTACTGAGTGATGCAAAGAAAAATATTTTTTTGCCATGTAGTCTCATAGCACAATGATAGATTTCAAGTTGAGAAACTCTAACAGTGATATATAAAATTCACTAATCTTTGCCAGATACAGGTACCATATAAAACGTGTCTTTTATTTTTTGTACTTTGGTTCTTTAACATCAAAGGGCCCTTGTTGACCCTGGAGAAACTTCTTCCCCCCAGAGCTAGCCAATTCCTAGAGATGGTAAACAATTCACGCTCAGGCTGCTTACACACCAACCAACATAAACCAACAAATTTTTACAGCCCATATCCCCAACCACCTTCTCCATTAAGGCCTCACACTAACCACCCCAGGGCTGGGTACCAGACAACTAGGGACAGGCCCTATGCCCCAGAGTCCGTTGAGATTATTCAAACTTGTCAACCTCAAGTCTGCTTACCCTGCCTGGCCTGCTTCCTTCTCACAAAAGCCACAATAAAGGTTCTTGGCTGTGTTTCCCCTGCGCCCTCTGGCTTCTGACTGACCCTGCTGCCTTCCCGTGTGGCCCCAAGAGTACAGCATGACCCTTTCTCTTAGGATGTGTGAGGATACCCAACTGTCTTTTCAACGACAGTCATTTCTGATCTGCTGGCTTCGCCATACCTAAATAATAATAAAACCTGCATTTTAAAATATATACCTGAAGAGAAAAGGGTACAAGTTAAGAAAAGAGGATAGCCTGGCCCCAGCACTCTGGCCACCATGCAAATGGACTTGGGTGAAATGTAGTTGTGCTGTCAGCTATACTGAGCAAAACTGCCACCTTGTATACTCTGGATATAACACACACACACTCAACAGAGTGAACTAGAAATAGCTGTGATGAAAGTGTCCACATTGAGATAGCATGTGTTACAAAAGTTAATGAGGTTTTTAGGGGTTCTTGACTTCTAGAGCACAGATTAAGTCCAACTGTAAAAATAGCTTATGAAGAATATAAAGGTAGTCCCCATTCACTTAAATGATACTGAAGTTTTCTATCAAATATTTCTGGATTCTAATGTATCCCATTAAAACTGCATTGCAGGAGACTCAACATGAAAAGCAAATCCCTATGAGGCTATATTCTTATTTAGGGCTTACTTCTGTCTCTATCTCTGGAGTAAAGGCTACTCAAAGGTAGCTTTACTTGACTTTGTATGCCTAGAAACTGGTATATAGCAGCTGCTAAATATTTATTTATTGACTAAAGAAGCGTTTCTGATCATCTTTGATTAACAGTGTGATAGATGACATGAGAAATCAAAGATGCCCATTTAAGAGATTAAATAAATAGGTGAATGATTTTGGAGCTAAGAATTAAAGCTCCTCCCTCTGGCCCAAACCATTATATTCCCACTACCTTCTGCCACCTCTGGGAGAGCAATCCAAGACATTGATTTGGTGGCAATGGACACCTTGGCATCTCCTGGTCCTTAGCTAACATTTAGCCATTAGTGAACATTCCTGGGGACCTGGCGATGCACTGTGACAAATGGCTGAGCTCCTGAGGGCTGGCTCGGGTACCATTACTGTGCAGTGCCACTTACCAAGGGCTCTAGCTCCTTGCGGTCTATGAGGTTCATCTCTGTGACGAAGTAATAGAAGTGTTTGTAGCAGGTGTTGACATGGGCCTCTGCACCCATCACAATGACGCGGTCGAAGTGGTGGATGTAGACATGGACAAAGACCCGGAAAAGGCGGCACAAGATCTTCTTGCAGATCTGAAGGAAGTTCCTTGGGAAGGGAACACCTAGAGAGAGAAAGAAAAAGGGAATGAACTCATGATGGTAAAGCTCATTTTCCTCTTACCTCTAATATTGAAAACTGGTAGCAGGAGGGTGGTGCTACAGGGAGACTGGCACCCCTGTCACAGGAGTCATCGGGAGTGGAGGAGGCAGGAAAATACTGGAAAATATCTTCCTACCTCCCTGTCAAGGGGAGCAGTTGCTGTGTGACTCCAGCCAACAGTGACCATGTGGAAATGGAGGCCCAGGGTTGTTGAAGCTCCTGATTTTTCAAGATAATTAAGAATCTGGGGTCCTATGTGAATCTGTTATACTTTTTAAATGTTAGTAATTAATTTTAAGTTTTAAAAAAATACCACAGGGCTGGGCATAGAGGTTCATGCCTGTAATCCCAGCACCTTGGGAGGTCGAGGCCTGAGGATAGCTTGAGCCCAGGAGTTCAAGACCAGCCTGAGCAATGTAGCGAGACCCCATTTCTACAAAAAATTTTTTAAAAGTTAGCTAGGTGTGGTGGCATGTGCCTGTAGTCCCAAGCCACTTGGGAGGCTGAGATAGGAGGATCACTTGGGCCCAGGAGTTTGAGGCTACAGTGAGCTATGATTGTGCCATTGCACGCCAGCCTGGGCAACAAAGTGAGACCCCCCATCTCTTAAAAGGAAAAAAAAATACCACCATGGGTCAAAACAAAACAGCTCTCTAGCTTAGATTCAGCCTGCAAGCTACAGTTTGCAAATTCTGATCTAAAACTTTTCCCAAGGTACACTGTTTCTGAGGTGGGCAAATTCAATAACTGTCATAGATACTTCGCATCACACTTACCGCCCTTCATCTGTAGGAAGAAGGTATGTGTTGGGGCTTATGTTTTTCATAACAGAAAGTGTGAGTGGCCAGAGGAGTCACTTGGATTTCACGCCTGATGATCACTACTCCCAGCTTGGTCAAAGCAATACATGACAGAATCGCAAGCCCACTTCCTTTCCCCCTCTCAAGCACTGCTGAAACTCTTGTTATTGACCCTGTCCTTAAGTGGTGACGTGTTATAACGGGGTATTACATTAAACAGACTTTGTTTGAATTCCCACTTTGCTCCTCTGCCAGCTGCACGACTGTGGGCGAGTTATTTAACTTCTGGTTTCTCATCTGTAAGTGAGGGGACACGATAAGGCCTTCCTTGCCTGGCTAGGACGGTGTTAACATGCGTAAGATCCTCCTACAGTGCCTAGGGCATGAGGAGAGCTAACTGAGATGTCCCCCCTTCTCCCTGCAAGGTGAGGTCTGGCAGCATCTAGCTGTTGTTATGAGGAAAATAATTACCCTTATCTAGAAAAGGTGGACATGACCACCGGCCTTTCAGCAGAATTGCAGAGCTGTGTTCAGGGCATGCTCAAGGTCCTTAGGATGCCTGGAGCTTTGCTGTCCTTCCTTCACAGGGACCCGGTGGCAGCTGTCTGGTGAGAAACACTCTGTAAAGGGATCACCTGGGACCCCCAAGGCAGGATAAGAGAGACAGACCGTGTCTGGCAGGCGGCAGTGACAGGATCGGATTCCCTGGGGTCCTGGCACCAATATGACTTTTTTTCAAAAACAAAGTGGCAACATATCGAATGAACCCAGGGAGAGACTCCAGCACAGCTTGACAGCTGACTGTCTGGGCAACAGATGCTGGGATTTGGGGGTGAGGGCGAGGTAGAGCACGAGAGAAGGTGGAGCGCAGCCACTCACAGGGCATACGTGCTGTTTTCTCTGCTGAAATGGGGCCAGAGCCACTGCTGCCAGGCTGGGAGCGGGTCTGGAGTCGCTGAAGAAGCCTGAGTCCCAGCAGCAACGGGATCCCCTCTGAGATAGGTGCATGCCCTTCAGAAGGGGAGTTCTGTAACTCGTTTAAAATCCTAGTCCTACTACTTACTACCTGTATAGGGACGTTACTTCATCACTCTATTATAAAATCAATAAACATTATTACTATGTAGTGCCCTTAAAATAGCATCTGTGCTGTGCCTGGCACTTAATGGGAACTTGGGGACTAAGATCGACTTTTGTTATTTCCCACCTGAACTCCTCAGGGAGGAAGGACCCTGAACTTAGAATCTCTTGGCTGCTGAGCCAGGCCTGTCTCTTCACCATTCCCTCCCTCATATGTCATTCGTTCTTCAAAAGCAAAAGCTGCAAACGGTTCAAGTCAAAACTTGCTCAGCATACACCACAGTCACCCAAGGCTGACTCTGGGAGTCCCAGGAGCCCCGTTGGGGGTCTCTTCTGAGCCTGGGATAAAACCCCAGGTCACAGAACACAGGGTTAAGAAAAGGAAAGCTACAGGCATTTGGGAAATTCATTTATCTGTTGATGGTTCGGGGCCAATTCTATAGTTTGTATACTATGTCAGTCCTTTCCTCCCTTTCTCCTCTGCCTTCCAGATGTTCCGACTTGTGTGTGTGTTTTAAATAAACCTTCAGAAAGTGGGAAACGGAAGAGAGTGTCCCTTCAGATGCAGAGGACCTGCATGTGCACCCCTTTGGTAGACTCTGAACTTTCATTCTGTGTAACTGGCCTCACAGCAGCAAGATAGGGCAGGACTCAGCCCGCCCATCCACGCCCTTTCCTGACAGGCTCCAAAGGGGCCAGTTCATAAAAACTGATTTTTTTCCTTCATGGTGCTGCAGAGAAGTATCCAATCTCCATAAAATAGCCAAAGAAAAGAGAATCCTGAGTAAAGGCTGAAATGTGCATGTGTAGTGTCATTTAATCACTGGGACACCCTGAATAGTGGGTATTATTATTTCAGTTTTTTTAAAAAAGGAAACTGAGGCTTAGCTTCAAGCATTTGCCCCAGGCCTCCTTTTAAGGAGGCAGAGTAGAGATTTGACTCCAACACTCAGGTTCTTTCTTCCGCATCCTGTTATTCAGGGCTCCACGGTGCCAGGGAACAAGAAGGACAAGAACACCATTTCATGAGCTGCACTTGGCTCACTTGTAGAAGGAGCTCGAAAAACGTTTGTTTGTTTTAAATGAATCCAGTTTGGCAGTAGGAAGAATGAAAGGCTGCTGGATCACCTCACACGGACACCTGCTAGTTACGACGGCAGCCTGTCCGTGGAGCTGTGCATGGCTGGGTCTGGGTGGAGGGCAGGCTGTGCGGTCCACAGGGCATAACTGCCCCAGCATCAGGGCCATAACCAAGCCCATCCTCTTGCTTCTTCTGCCTCTCTCGAGTATATAAGACATTTTGGACCTTCCACTTTGGTATTTCCCAGGATGTGTTTTAAAAAATCACTAATCCTGGGAGATCCTTGGCCAAAAAGAAAGGGTTGTGAGGTCAAATATATTTGCAAAAATGTTGCTTTCATAGAGGTTTATAATATACCCAAGCATAGCAAATGACCTAAGAATACTACAGCAAAAAGTACTGCTTAACTCTGGATTCCCCTTTGCCCATAATATCTATTGGTTTAAAGCACAGAGGCTGCAATCACAGTTCCCAGGTTTCATTTCTGGCTTTACCACCTATTACGACTGTAGCCAGTGAGGCATGGTGGCTCACACCTAGAATCCCAGCAACGTGGGAGGCTGAGCAGGAGGACCGCTTGAGGTCAGGAGTTTGAGACCAGCTTGGGCAACATAGTGAGACCCTGTTTCTAAAACAATGGAAGCAAAAGTAGCAAGGCATGGTGGTGTGTACCTGTAATCTCAGCTACTCAGGAGGCTGAGGTGGGAGGATATTTTGAGCCCTGGACTTCAAGGCTGCAGTGAGCTATGTTTGTGTCACGGCCCTCCAGCCTCCCCAACAGACCAAGACCACCCCTCTTATAAAACAAAACAAAACAATGTAGCCATATGCAAATGACTTAGTCTAAGAGAGACTAGGGGTTTCCCCACCCCTAAAGCAACAGGGGCATACTGTTATCTGTAGCTTAGGTTGTTGTGAGGATTAAACATGTAAGTATTTAAAAGGCTTTACTCAATGCCTTGCAGATAGTAAGCATTCCATTGTGAACAGCTAGTTTTAGTACACCACTGACAAATGTTCTTGATAACATACTTTGAGACTAAATTCTTCCCACCTATTTATTTTCAGGAGGGCAGTCTTGGTATTAATATACCAACTCTGAACTTGCACAGAACATAGAGTTGTAGGTACTCAATTAAGCACCGGGGTATGTATATTCTACCTTACATTATTTTCTACAAGTTTCTCATACTTATGTCTTGTATTGCTCTAAGTTCCCCTGAACCAAGGGGCTATTTTATACTTTGACTCTACCTTGAAAAGCACCTGGCACAGGTGAGGCAGGAATATTGTCATCAATCAACATTGAAACAGAAAAGAGCAGTGGTCTTATTTAGGCAAGATGTGAACCCATCATCTCCTATTTGAGGGAAGGAAAAACCCCATAGCAGAAAGTTAGCTTTTTGCCAGAGCCTTGACATAGTCCTGGCATAGAGGGCTGCACATTGCTTTTGGGGAGAAGGGAGAACCCTGCAATGAAGAACACTGTGATCCTGTCTAGAGGGCAGGAAGAAAAAATCTCAAATTCCTCTCTTTTTACCCTAAAACCTCCCTTCTAATCCTTTCAATCTTTTTTTTTTTTTTTTAAGGTGGTGAGAGTTAATTTTCAGTCACTGTACTCAATTAGAAAGTTAATGCTAGACATTATTAACCAGCAGTCTTAACTGAAATAGATTGTATGTCTTAAGGGTTTAGAGTTAAACTTTGACTAGTCATATCATAATCCAGACAAACCCTAGGCAATAATCCCAGACACTTAGATGTGTCTGTATTAATGATAGAGATCTTCTGATCAAAGGTTCTTCTCTATAAGTGATTTGCAATCACTGAGTCTGAGAACATGCCCCTCCTCTACCCCACCCTGAGCCACTTTCCCTGACTCTTAAAGCTGGGAAATTTCAGGCTCCAAGAAGTTGGCCTGAAATGTGGAATGTTTTTAGACGAGCACTCCGCAAAGAAGTGATGGACACCCAGGTGTCTGAGGATGACTTTGGACCTGGA